TTCTTTCTTTCCTTCCTTCCTTTCACGGCCTTTCCTTATTTGTCTTTCCTTCCCTACTCTCTGTTGACATAAGACTATCATCACAGAAAGACTGACAGCACGGTAGCTTGTCTCATGCTGACAAGCTTACTTGTGATGTCGCTGTAAGCACGATTATTCATATTATCGCTGTATTGATAAACCACCAGTCAATACGAGTCTGGTTCGTCGAGCATAACATCTTCAAGATATTTTTTGCTTCTAGAACTGATCGCGAATATGGAACATGTTCTGTAAGGAAATCTGCTTATTATTGCACTTTAGCCTGTTTATTGGCGACTCAAGGGTTTCTTCGTCAGGTATTTACGTACTGCTTTATTATGGTATTTAATATTCAACTCTCTGAATCATCGATTCCTTCGCCATAATATATAATGTGTCTCGTGATTTCCACATGATAACTTATCGTTAATGTTTATTCGACATTTGATTTGAATTTTGAAGCAGTTATATTTACTAAATTTGACGATAACAATAGAAATCATTCAGGATACAGCGGCACCTGGATTGAATGGCGATTGACAAAATCGCAGTACACGAATTAGCCTTTTCCCAAATTCGCTTGAGTGACCGCAAAATACCAAGTTCAACCTCAACTTGCAGTCATATGTTTAAGGTTCCAGCTATCCCATATACTAATTTCATAGCACAAAGAATCCTAATTTTTTTTAATAAGGCCGAATTTAGGAGCATTTCATAGTGATTTCACAGCATATGGAATTTTCATAGGTCTATGAAAAGAAAATATATATAGGACTATAAGATATTTTTTTCATAGCTAATTTTACTCAATATTTCGTGGCTGTTTCATAGCTATTTAGAGAACCATGAGTTTACTTCCGCCATCACATTACTATTATATTTCGCTAGCTCCACAGGTAGCCCAAAACTGACATTTTGAAACAATATTCCAATAGAAATTATTCATACTTACTCCCATGATTCTGTCTCCGATGGCTCGAATTACGACGTTCAGAGTGAACACACGTAGTGACGCTTAACCACATTGTCTCTTTTTATGCTATTTCCAGGAAGTGAGTGGCCCAGTGGACGGTATGGGTTACCTCAGCCTAAGGCTGGTTGTCCGTCTAGTTCTGAGTGGGGTGGAGGTTGGTTGTACGAGGACAGAAGACTAAATAACCAAACGACAGCAAGGGTGCCCCAGTACTCTCATCTTAAAGGAACCTTCACCCAGGCCATCACAAAGAGATATTTCTGTATTAAGAACAAGGACAATGGACAGGACAACCCTTGGCCAAATGGTACAATAATAATACTAGTGTTGTTGATTAGCATATGCATGGGCAGATCAAGGATTTTCACTTGGGGGGTTTGAACTGGCGCACCGAACCAAAAAAGGACCACTGTAGCTTTACACTGACAAACCAACTGAAAAAGCTTTTATAATTAGGAATTAGGGGTTCCATGAATTAAGATGATCTATAATTAGGTGGTTCGCTCATGGTTTAGGGGGTTGGGACGAACCCCTCGAATTTCCCCTCACCTCCCCCCCCCC